CCCACTCCCACCTTCTTCAAAAACTTATAGTAACAAACTCAAGGAAAAGCCAGTCGTTGGTTGCATACCAGGCATCACTTTCTGGCCTGATTGCTGTATGGGCTCCATCAATCTACTCTCTAGCCACTTCCCCTCCATTCCTTTGTCCAGATCTAACCAGACTCGTTTTGCTAAAATACACTCTCAAATATATCAATAACAATAATAATTTGTATTGTGGTTATTTATCACCACCATCCCAAAAATGGGAACTAGTAATAGCCCCCATTTTATAGATTTGAAAACTGGGACAGAGAGAAGGTAGATAACTAAAGCAAAAATCACATAGAAAGTAACAAGCAGAAGCTGGATACAGATTTGTATAACTTCAAAATACAGGTTCTTAAGCATTCACTGCCCTTACCGTTCATTCAGTTCTCTAGCTAGAAACAAAATAAGATCCAAATTATTTTACTTGACATTAAGATACCCTTGGTCTAGTTCACAGTATACCTTGTCAGGCTTGTTTCCCCTCTTCCTACATAAACAAAAAGGTGTGTATTTGTTTGTTTACAGGAACATATGTTAGTCTTTGGTCCCCTTATGTGTTCCCTACTTTCCCCCATTTGATAATTTGTTGTATAGAATGGTAATACTAATAAGAACTGTTTACTTATCTGTATGCTCCATTAGATTGGGGGCATCTTAAACTTCAGGGCCTATACCGCCAGCAATGGGCCTTGACCTACCATAGGGTTAGTGCTCTTTGAACCTATACTATAGTCAGAAAAGAGAACTCACTACTTCCTGAACGCCCACATTTCCCTGTCTTTGCATTTGCGTATGCTGTTCCCACAACCTAAAATCTTTGCCTTCACAATACATATCCTTTTGCCAGTACCCTGACCTTCATTTACAGTCTGGCCCAAATATCATGTACTCTTGGACACTTTCTCCCATATCTTGAGTGGAAATTGTTCTCCTCTTTAAATAGCTTCATGCCCCTTGCCCCAGAATGGTAACATATATCATCTTCTTCTATGCATTAGTTTTTTTTCTGCAGTCAGCCTTCCCCGGGAGGCTTTGACACTTCAGGAAAACACCATAGCATAGTGATCTGTGTATTGCTCCCACATATAACATAGCAATGTCAGAAGGTACCTGACAACTCCAGACCCTTTCATAAAAACCTGTTGGATTGAACTTGAATTTGATTTCCACAGGCTGTTCTCAGAAACCTAATATAATCCCAAGAACTACCAGTTAGACCAGTATTCTTAGCAGGAGTTTGTGTACCCCAGGGGACTGGTGAACTTCATTTATGCATAAATGTGTTCACATATACAGGATTTTCCTTTACCAGATCCATGACATACTCTATTTTCAAATGATTTTATTGCTTAAAAAATTGTATAAAATGCCATGAAGTTTTATTTCCTATGTCCTTAGGTTTCTCTTTTGTGCTTTATTGGATAGAAGCACTTTTTAATTATAAAAGCAATATAAATACCTTGAGTAACACATTTTAAAATATAATTTAATAAGTAAGAGAATCTTAGTTCTCCTTGTGTCCAGCCCCCCCCCCCAAACACACACACACACACACATACACCCATACCCATACTTGCCAGTGAGCGTTAGAACAACAGACCCTGTCACTGCTAGTGGGAGTAAAAATTGGTGCACTCTTCCTTTTTTCCTTTTCTCTTTTTGTGTCTTTTTCTGCTGGTTTTTGGGTTTAAGAACTTAGATAAAGTAATATCTTCCTCAGCTTTATATTTCTTGGTTCAGTCTCTTGTCTCATAACTCAACACTTCTAATTTTTTGTCCTAAACATTTATTTTGCTCTCTTTTATTAGTTAAGTGCTTAATCGTACATGTGGGAATTTTATCCTTCATATGAAATTTCCTGTAACCTATTACTTTTATTTGCCTCTTATAGCTACTATGCTATTCCTTTTCTGTTTTTCTGTTTTCATTTCTTAAGCCTGTTTTAGCCTCCCGAACAACCGTTTTTACACTTCTTACACTTTTTTTACACTTTTTTACACTGCTGTGTTAATTTCTACTGTACAGCAAAGTGATTCAGTTTATATATATATATAACATATATATATACACACTTATTTTTATATATAATATATATATACACTTATTTATATATATATTCTTTTTTATATTCTTTTTCACTATGGTTTATCACAGGGTATTGAATATAGTTCCCTGTGCTATACTGCAGGACCTTGTTGTTTTTCCATCCTATTTATAACAGTTTGCATCTGCTAATCCTAAATTCCCACTCCATCTGTCTGCCATGCCCCACCTCAGCAACCACACATCTGTTCTCTGTGTCCCTGTTTCTGTTTTGTAGATAGCTTCATTTATGTTATATTTTAGATTCCACATATAAGTGATACCATATGATATTTGTCTTTTTCTAACTTACTTCACTTAGTATGATATTCTCTAGGTCCATCCATGTCGCCAGAAATGGCATTATGTCATTTTTTTTATGACTTCAGTAGTATTTCATCGAATATATGTACTACCTTTTCTTTAGCCATTCATCGGCCGGTGGACGTCTAGGTTATTTCCATGTCTCAGCAATTGTGAATAGAACTTCTGTGAACATAAAGGTGCATGTATCGTTTTGAATTATAGTTTTGTCTGAAAGTATGACAGGAGCAGGATTGCTGGGTCATATGGCAACACTATTTTTAGTTTTTTAAGGAACCTCTGTACTGTTTTCCATAGTGAGTGAACCTTCTTACATCCCCACTAACAGTGTAGGAGACCAACAACCTTATTTTTAATCTCTTTTTTCCCTTATACTGTCCCTTTCTTAACTTGTTTATTGTTGTACATTGAAGTGTATTCTCTATCTTACAAAATCTCAGATGACACTGGACTTACATTTACCTCCAAGTAAAGCCATTGGCATGGTAACTGGCATGGTTACTTAAGAATTGGTAGACATCACCATCATTGGTACCAGGGCTGCAGGAGGTCATTTGATGTATCCACATTTACATTGTTGATAACACCATAAAAATGTTTGATCTAGTTCTGTTGGACTAGGAATATACTTGGGCAGAAAGTTCTAAGTGATAGGACTCTGTAGAAGTTCATTTCAGTAAGCCCTAATGGAATGCCTAGTCCCTTCCAAGAACAAGCTGAGGTTCCAGATTGTATCCATTGTCAGCGAGGAGTTCTCTAGTTTAAACTGAGATTTTCAGCCATTCCAAAAATATTTTTACTGTATATTCTAAAATAGTCAAGAAATCCTTTCTAAAGTAAAACCTAAGAAGTTCATCCAGGCATTCAGCACAATGAAATAAAATGTCTTGATTTAAGAGGCCCATTCCTGCCATTTCTTAGAACAAAGACATGTACTGTAAAGGCAGACCAGACTGAGATGGAATCCTGGCTCTTCTTTTTATAACAAGACAGACTTACTGTGCTAGTGATGAGCAAACACGGATAGAAGACTCTGGACCAAAAGAACAATGGATGGATTGAGTTCAGGCTTGGCCTTTAACATGGGAGCAGGGTGGTAGAATGAGAATAAATCCATGGTATTTGCTTTGATGGGGCAGTGGGGTCCGGGGCATTTGGAGTGACATGGGGGAGCATCAGTCATGGCAGGTGGGAAGATGGGGCCATAGACACCTGCAGGAAATACGTGCTTCTGTTTGATACCACAGCCTGCAGCAGAACACAGCCCTGTGGACTGGGGGTAGGGGCAGGGCCTATCTAGATTGCTGTCTTGAGTAAACATGTCAGGGAAGATGGTGATTAATGACTGTTGACTGTAGTCCAAATCATATTTGCACATACCTGCACATTTGTGTACACTCCTGACCCACCTACCCACTCTTCCATTCTCTGTCTCCCCCCTCCCCAGATCCCTCACCCTCAGTCTCACATTCATTCTCTCACATCCACTAAACTCTTAAGTCCCTATCACCATCTCAGGTCCATGGTCCTGTCCTTAAATCTTACATAATGCCTGGAAAATTTCAACGTGCAATAGCTTTGCAACCTTAGCTAAGTTACTTCTTGCTGAAAGATAAGGAAAATCATTACTGCCATAGGGCAGCTGCAGGTTAAATGAGATAAAACATGAAAGGTAGTTGTCATGGCACCCAGTGGATGTGGTTGTCTGTGACCACCAGGGCCTTTCTCCCCACATCATCCCTGTGCTCTTGTCCTATCTTTCACCATGAATAAGCACACCCACATCCCTTTGCACACAGAGCCCATTCATTCCCCAGAGACCCGAGTGGCTATCTGCCAGGGACCAGGGAACAAAGTGCCTTTCACATTTCTGTTCTCATTTTTCTCTATAAAATCCTTTGAGGGAAAGAATTATTTTCTCACTTTACAACTGGGGAACTGAGACTCAAAAAAAAACTAAGCAATTTTCCGTGGAGCTCACAGCTGGTCAGCCACAGAGTTAAGACTTACACTCAGCTCCAGAATCTGTGTGCTCTTCTCCCAGCCTTCTGATGAATTTTCTGTCACCTAGAACATGTTGAGGAAAAGGACATTCTCTCCTGGTTAAGCAGATGTGATTTACTAAAAAGTCCATGTTCACTAACCACATCTCTGCCTTCTCTGGTAAGGCACATGGACTGAATTCTGCCCTCTACTAGACACGAAGATACCTGAGGTTAGATACCTTGTTTATCTTGCTAAATCTTTATACCTTGTTCTCAGGACAAATGGTGGATACTCAATTCAAGGAAGTCGAACATATGAATGAATGTTTATAAGGAATGTCCACATCCTATAGTAGATTCGACCTGAGGCTAGTTGAGAAGAGGAGAATTGGAAACGGGTAGAAACATCCCCATCAAACCTGGGTGCATAGCATGGATGCACACACACACACACACACACACACACACATACACACACACCCTCCCTGTCCCCATCCAAGCTCCCATAGCCACACATACTCTACATTCCATGACACACAGACATGTGCATATTCTATGACTATTTTTACTATTTTTTAGTTTGTGAAGAAATACGGGAACCTTTTTAGCCTGGAATTCGGTGACTTGCCTTCAGTTGTTATAACTGGATTGCCCTTAATCAAAGAAGTCCTTGTCCACCAGGACCAAAACTTTGTGAGCCGCCCCATAACCCCTATTCGAGAACGTGTTTTTAAGAAAAATGGTAAGTTTCTTGACTAATACAAGATGTGTACATTTGATATTCTTATAGTCTGTGAAAGGTACTTTTGTTTCTGTAATTCTCCAATACTCCCAGGGACTAGGCCCCTATAAGTTCCTGCTCCTTAGGGAAGCTGAGTGCCTGCATTTCCCTGGTGAAGGTTCCTCCTCAGGGCACCTGGCAGGGTCCACCCTAATGTCAGGCATTTGGGAGAAGCGACATCACCTGCATGAACTCACTCTGGATGCTTTGATAAAGAAGTATGCTCATTCACTCAGTCATGTGATGTGTTTTTAAGCTGAGGAAAGGCAATGAATTATCAGGCTCTCTTTCTCCACTCAGATCTCTTCCCCGAGGAAAATGGGTGTGGATCAGCTTCCTCCTCCTCTTGATTATGTGATCCTTTCTTGCGTCTAGCTTCTTGTGATCTGTTGTTAAGGCTGTCGCTTACAAGATATCGCGAGCCTTCCATTTTTGTTAGAAGGGTTTGGGGTTTCCCTGGTAGCTCAGTGGTAAGAATCTGCCTGCCAGTGTAGGAGACATGGATTTTTCTGGGAAGATCCCACATACTGCGGAGCAGCTAAGCCTGTGCGCCACAAATACTGAAGCTGTGCACGGCAAAAAGAGAATCCACCGCAATGAGATGGCAGTGCACTGCAACTAGAGAGTAGCCCCTGCTTTTCCCAACTAAACAAAAGCCCGCAACAAAAGTGAAGACCCAGCAGAGCAATAAATAAATAAAATTATTGAAAAGAAGAGGGGTTTAGCATAAATACTTTAAATGATTATTAAATTTACACATTTAGAAAGCTAAATGAAAAACTCAATATATTCTACCAAAGCACCATATTTTTTAGGTGCTTCTCAATTTCTCTTTGAAATATTTTACCCATTAACTCAACATCCATTCACTGTGTTTATTTGCCATATGAAGCCTGGTGGTAGGGAGCAGTGACAGAACAGTGAGGAGAATGACAAAGTCCTTATTTTTCTGTAACATACATTTCATTCAGGAAAACAGTGTCAGTCACTCTAATAATTTAAGACCTTAGTGTTATGAAGATAGGAGCGTGACGTACTCCTTAGGAGTGTCTAATATCCTGAGACACAGGAAAAGCTAACACAGTGACAGTTAATATAACAAAGTGAAAAAACTAGCAGGTGGAGGGAATGGAGTGTGAAAAGCCCCCGAGGTGGGAAGGACACTGCACTGGAGGAACTGAGGGGGGCCCGTGCTGCAGCGCAGCGGTTAAACGGAGATGAAGCTGCTGAGTTCAAACAGGAATAGTTCATGCAAGTTAAGAACGTTGCTTTACATCGTAATGACAACGGAAGCTCCTGCATGGTTTCCGTAGAGAAAGGGATCATCATACTTACACGGTACATTTTGGAGACTTCTCTAAACTATAGTGTGGAGAATGGAATAAAGGGAGCAAGAAACAATTGCAGCATTTTAGCTGAGAAGAGGTGGTGGCCTGGACTAGGGAGGTGGCGAGACACGGCAGTCCAACAGGTTAGACCAGGACAATGACTGTGAAGATACATGTATTTAAGTTTCTCAGGAGGAAAATCCAACAGGACGTGATGACCCAGACAGAGGGAGAATGAGGTGGACACCCAAATGGGTAGGTAAAGGAAAGAGACATGTGGAAGAGGACAGGGTGTTGGCTGGCCTGGGGAGTTGTAAAGAGCAAATAATGAATTCAGTTATAGATATGCTGAGTGTGAAATGCATTTAAATCTGCAGAGCCGAGCAGATACTTGTATACATATATCTATCTAGTGCTGAGAGACAGAAATAGATATTAACTATCAGTAGATTTCACTTAAAATTTTAGGAACTAATGAGATTGTCCCCAAAATGGAATATAGATAAAGAGAAAAGACTTCAGACCTAGTCTTGAAGAGCTCCATCATTTCAAAATTCAATAGAAGATGAATTAACAAAAGATACAGGAATTTCTCTATGGTCAGAGAATAAAGGAGGGAAATCTAGAGAGTGTGGTGTCCTGGACACCATTGGAAGAGAGTGTTTCAAGAAAGAAGTGTCTCATGCTGCTGACACATGATGGTGAGGTTGAAAAGCATCCTGGACTGGACAGCAGGCAAGGTCATGTCCTTGTGGTGGTGGAGGCCAAAGTCACATATGAAAGTGAGTTGAAGGGTGCTCTGGAAGTGAAGAAAGGATGGTGACCTCCCCTGTGTTATGAAATAAATGATCATTTATTGAACACACAAAGATGGATTTTTTTTTTCCTTTGCCTGTGTTGTCCACTCTGCATAGATTTTTTTACTCTTCCATGCTTTCTTGAGTGATTCATTTATTTTTAAGACCTGGTTTAGATAAGATCTCTCCTAAAGGACTTACCTTGTGAATATGGATTTTGTCTAATCTATAAGTGCATTCTTAGTATGTTCATGATACAAATATTTACATATATTATGTGACAAGTCATCAAAAATGGACTTTGGAGTCAGACAGACTTGAATTTCAATCCTGTTCAGTTGCTTGCTAACTCTGTGACATTGCAGAGTTTATTTTATCTCTTACACCTCAGTTTCCTTTTCAACAAAACTGTTGGGCGGGTTGGCAGTTATGATAGGATGTACCTCAAAAGAGGTTCTGTGAGTACTATATAATGCATTAAAAATGCTAAAAGGTCTGCCATTATGAGTAATCATTAAATGCTAGCCATTGTATCCATTGCTTTGGGATTATTTCTCTGAATAGTTTCAAACACCTGAAAGCCTTTCCCCTTCCTTCCATCGGATACATTGTTCCTCATGGGTCTTGTTGACTTTCTTTTCATAATGTTGGCTTTGTTTTTCCCAGGCTTGATCATGTCCAATGGCCACATATGGAAAGAGCAAAGAAGATTCTCCCTGACAGCTCTGAGGAACTTTGGTTTAGGAAGGAAAAGCTTAGAGGAACAGATACAGGAAGAAGCTGCCTACCTCATCCAGACAATAGGAGAGGAGAATGGTGAGCAGGTCCTAGGACAGGTGCAGGGACTGTGGTTCATGCTTTCACTAACCAGATGCCTATCAATACCTACATGTCTGCCCTAAGCCCAGGACTGTGTTGGGTGCTTAGGGACTAACAGTGAACAGCTAACCATGAACTGCTGTTATAGAGCTTGAGTGTTAAGAAGAAGATGGGTATAAAACTCATTATTGGTTTTAAATTCTGGTCATCAGTTTGACCTCCAGGCATTGACTGAGCACTTGCTGTGTGTCAGACCTGTGTAGGGTGCTGGGACCACAGTTTCAGATACAGTTCTGTAGTCAGTGTGCTATATGCCATGTAGAATGTACTCTGGAAAATAGAAACAAACCAATCTGAAGTCTCTATCTCTTCTTCTGCTCCCAGGACAGCCTTTCAACCCTCATTTCAAGATCAACAGTGCTGTTTCCAATATTATTTGCTCCATCACCTTCGGGGAGCGGTTTGACCACCAGGATGATCAGTTCCAGGAGCTGCTGAGGCTGCTGGATGCGGTCACCTACCTAGAGACAACAATGTGGTGCCAGGTGAGGCAGTTCTTACTTCCTGCCGTGGAGAAGGACACTGAGCTCATGTCAGACAGAGATGGGTTCTTCCTTTTATTTTCTTCTTAAGCTAACACAACCTTTTGAAATTGACAAACATATCTGAAGTCAGTCTGTTGAATCTGATGTTTTATGTAATATTGTTGAACATTGACTGTAGACAAAGAGGGCTTCCCAGGTGGCTCAGTGGTGAAAAAAAAAAAAAATCTACCTACCAATGCAGGTGACGATGAAGATGAATTGGGAAGATCCCCTAGAGTAGGAAATGGCAACCCACTCCAGTATTATTGCCTGGAAAATCCCATGGACAGAGGAGCCTGGTGGGCTACAGTCCATGGGTTCACAAAGAGTTAGACGCTACTGCTCACATATGCGTTAATTACTAGAAAATTGAGTTCAGTAATGGGACTTCAGTGAATACCAGGCTGACTGTTCCCAAGGAACAGAAATCCTGGGAGGTTAGGAGGAGGCAATAGGGCAGGGGTAGAAAGCATTTCTTAGAGATCCAAAGTAGACCAGGCACTTTGGTAGACAGCTATACATACTTTATCTCAGTTAATTTTTTTTTTTTACAACAGTTCTTTAAAGATGAAATGGATTATCCTGATGTATGCAAGCAGATATGGGAATGTGTAAACAAATCCACATAGTGTTCCACTGGCTCTGTGTTAAGTGTGGTATGGATCTCATGTCATTTGATCGTGAAAATAACCTTTGCCCCCACTAGCAGCTAGTTTAGGTAGATACAGGCCACACCATTATTACTACCACTAGCAAAGTACTATAGCTAGAAAGAAACAGAGCTAATTGTCAAACCCATACCTATCACATTTGAAATCTAGGCAACTTTCCATTACCTTATGCTATCTATTTTCTACCATATATTATTAGAAAAAATATATACAAAAACTACTGTATTTCAGTAAAAAATATTTTACCCACATGGAGCATAGCTCATAGTGAGGACAGACAAATAAATACACATATATGTTTACCATAGATATTTAGATACATAGGAATGTAGATGCATAGTTAGATACATATACATAGATAAACATACATATTTTACAAATACACACAAATATATATACACACACATACTAATGACAATTATCACGGAAAAATATAAAACAAAGGAATGGAAAGAGAGTCCCAGAAGTGCTGCTAATTGTAGGATCATCAGCTAAGACGGATCCAAATAGGTGACATTTGACAGCACATTAAGGAACTGGAGTTACACAGATTTCAGAGGAAAACCATTCTAGATGAAAGAAATAGCAAATACAAAGTCCTAAACAAGAACATTTTTTTTATGTTTGCACAGAGACCAATGGGGCCAGACTGGAAAGAGTAAGAGAGAGCAAGATGGCAGGAAGTGATAGGAGAGGAGGCAACAGGAGGGTGACGGCCAGATTATGTAAAGCTCCAGGCCAGGAGAATGATGTAGAATCTTTCTAAATGTCTTGGGAAGTCATTGGAGAATTGCGAGTCAAAAAGTGAAATGATCTCATTAAACTGTTAAATGATCTCTGTGGCAGCTCAGTGGAAGATAGGCTGAGAAGGGGGTTAAGGAGAGAATCAGGAAACCTGTTGTAGACTTTACAGCATCCAGATAAAAAATGTTAGTACTTTGTACTAGGATGACAAAGCAGATGGAGCGGTTAAAATTGGTCTGAAGTGTCATGTTTTGGATGGAGGGTTGAAATGCTTTGGCAGAGGGGAAAGAAGAGGGTTGAGAGAGAGAAGCGTCAAGGTTGACTCAAGGGATTAAATGTAAGCAAATAAAAGAGGCAGAGAAAGAATATGGTTTGTGTGTTGTTCAGTTGCTCTCATGTTCAACAATTTGCAACCCCATGGACTTATCTTAAGAAGCAGAAAAATGTCACCCCCTTTTCTCCATGACGGTTTTATTTGTTCCATCAGCTCTACAATGTCTTTCCAAGGATAATGAATTTCCTTCCAGGACCACACCAAATGCTCTTCAGTAACTGGGGGAAACTGAAAATGTTTGTTGCCCGTATGATTGAAAACCACAAGAGAGATTGGAATCCTACTGAAGCAAGAGACTTCATTGATGCTTACTTCCAGGAGACAGAAAAAGTGAGGAAACCTGAGTTTTTTCCTGAGTATTGTTCTTAAAGACCAAATGAAAGGATTCTAATATCTTATTGCTGGTGTAAGAAGTCACCACAAACTTGGTTGCTTAAAACAACCAACATTTATCAAGTCAAGGTGGGGGCAGTACTGGCTCTTACAAGATTCTAGGGGAAGAAGCTAGTGATGGACTTTTCCAGAGTCTAGAGGCTGCCTTTCCTCCTTGACTGACTCATGACCCATTCCTCCATCTTCAAAGCCATCAATATAGCATTTTTTCTGCCACTATCTTCACATCTACTCTTTATGACTTTCTTGCCTCCCTCTTCTAAAGACTCTTGTGATTATATTGGGCCCACTGGGATAATCCATAATAATTTTCCCATCAAGAGCCTTATTTCAATATATCTACAGAGTTCTGTCTGCCATATAAAACTCACAGATTCTAGAGTTAAGGACATAGATTTCTTTGTGGGTCATTATTCAGCCTACCCCAGGGGAGAAAAAATAGAGGCAGTACTTCAAAGAATGTAGGAATAGCATTAACTCAAAATTGATGGGACAATTAGAAATAAAGACAGAGGTTTAACAGTATTTGGCTTAAGGACTTTAGAAAGACCAAATATTGCCTTTTCATAATACATTCTCTACCCATATCTGAAGGGCCTGTATGTACAAGGAAAAAAAGTATTATTTCATTATTAGTTGGACCAATGCCCAGTCTCCTTCCTATCCCTTCCCCCAGCTCCCCATTGCAGAACACAGGTAAATCTGAGTCAGATGCCAGAGTTTAGCCTCAGATGGGAGAGACATTTGCCTTCCTCCCTCATCTCTATGTCATACACTTTTCAATATTACTATAGGAAAAAAGTCAAATGGGATGTAAAACCTTTGCCATAGTCATCCCTCTGGTAAACGTATCGCTGCATTGGTGATATGTTTGACCCATCAGATTATTTTGACCAATCAGATCATTCATTCCCAGAGTTGGCAGAATGGATTTCTTTCCAACTCCTCTCTTGTTCCACCTTATTGTGATAACATTAATAGAAACATTGATTTCTCTTATGAGGAGGAGACTTCACTTGCTATAAGATATGCAGGTATGGGACCACACAGGGAGGAACATTGACACATTGAAGGAAGGTGGTAAAGATGCTGGAGTGCCATGAGGAATGACTGTTGGAATCAGAAAAGTTTAACCTAAAAGGAAAAGATTAATGGGGAGATGTGAAAATTATTGTACTTTAGAGAAATTCAGTTATTATTTTTATTATTGGTACAAACATTTGTTGAGAATTGATATGTGCCCTTTCCTACTGACATAATTCATAATTCCACCTTAAGAGGTAAGTGTTGTTATGCCTGTTTTGTGGAACAGGACTCTAAAACACAGAAAGTTTTATTGACTTGCTCAAGTCATACAAATGGTGAATGGTGTCGCTAATAATTGGAACCCAAGGCTGTTTGCCAGTGTAATAATAGATTCTGCCTAATTATGGGTGTAAAAAATAAGTTGTCTTTTTTGTCCACCAAAGCTAGCAAAAGCTTCCACACCGAGGGGCAATGATATTCCAGTAATAAATCTCTGCCTCATGAGACAGCCAAAGGGAAAGTTATTTCTCCTGGAGCAGTTTCTCCTTCATGTTCTCTTTAGGATGAAGCCCCATGTGTTGTGGCAACTAAGAACCGTCTCAATAAACCAATAATCACTGTGCTTTCTAGCATAAGGGCAATGCTGCTTCAAGTTTCCATGAAGAAAACCTTATCTACAGCACCCTGGACCTCTTCTTCGCTGGAACAGAGACAACTTCAACCACCTTGCGCTGGGGTCTGCTCTACATGGCTCTGTACCCTGAAATCCAAGGTGAGCATTTGAGTGGGTGGGCCTAGGCTGGGTCATAATGGGGCTTCCTCAAGAATACACAAATGGGGCAAAGAAGGTCTCTTCAATAAGTGCTTCTGGGAAAACTGGACAGCTACGTGTAAAAGAATGACATTACAACCCTTCCTAACACCATACACAAAGATAAACTCAAAATATATTAAAGACCTAAATGTAAGACCAGAAACTATAAAACTCTTAGAGGAAAACACAGGCAGAACACTCTATGACACAAATCACAGCAAGGTCCTCTATGACCCATCTCCTAGAGTAATGGAAATCAAAACAAAAATAAAAAAGTGGGGGCCTAATTAAACTTAAAAGCTTTTGCACAGCAAAGGAAACTATAAACAAGGTGAAAAGACAACCCTCTGGATGGGAAAAGAATAATACCAAATGAAACAATTGGCAAAAGATTAATTTCAAATATATAAGCAGCTCATACAAACCAATAACAGAAAAGCAAAAATCCAATCAAAAAGTGGGCAAAAGACCTAAACAGACATTTTTCCAAAGAAGACTTACAGATGGCTAACAAACCCCTGAAAAAATGGTCAAGATCGCTCATTATTAGAGAAATGCAAATCAAAACTACAATGAGATATCACCTCACACTGGTCAGAATGGCCATCATCGAAAAATCTACAAACTATAAAAACTGGAGAGGGTATAGAGAAAAGGGAACCCTCTTGTGCTGTTGGTGGGAATGTAAATTGATACAACCACTATGGAGAACAGTACAGAGATTCCTTAAAAAACTAGGAATAAAACCACCATATGACCCAGTAGTCCCATCAGTAGGCATATACCCTGGGGAAACCAAAATTGGAAAAGACACATGTACCCCAGTGTTCATTGCAGTTCTATTTACAACAACTAGGACATGGAAGCAACCTAGATGTCTATCAACAGATGGATGGATAAAGAAGCTGTGGTACATATATACAATGAAATATTACTCAGCCACAAAAAGGAATGCATTTGAGTCAGTCCTAATGAGGTGGATGAACCTAGAGCCTATTATACAGAGTGAAGTAAGTCAGAAAGAGAAAAATGTCATATACTAATGCATATATATGGAATCTAGAAAGATGGTTCTGATGAACCTATTTGGAGAGCAGCAGTGGAGATGCAGACATTGAGAACAGATTATGGACATGGCTGGGAGGGGAGAAAGGAGAGGGTGGCATATGTGGAGAGAGTAACATGGAAATATACAATACCATATGAAAATAGATACCCAGTGGAATAGGAATTTGCTGCATGACACAGGAAACTCAAACTGGGGCTCTGTAACAACCTAGACAGGTGGGATGGGAGGGTGGTGGGAGGGATGTTCAGGTGTGGGGGGACATGGGTAAACCTATGGCTAATTCATGTTGATGTTTGGTAGATACCAACACAATACTATAAAGCAATTATCCTTCAATTAAAAATAAATAGTTTTTTTTAAAGGAAAAAAGAAAAAAAGAATGGGGCCTCCTGGAAGACTGTCCAAAAGTAGGGCCAGAGGATAGCATGGTAGGATGGTGAGATAGGTAAGACAGGTGAACTTGAGAATGGGCACCTGCTTCAGTTTTCTGCTAGAATTGGGATGGGTCCACATAACACAGATATAACAGAGAGCCCCTGCCCTCAGGAAACTCACTGTCCAGTGGGGAAAACAGTGAAGTCCACTGCCATTGTGGTGAGTTCCAGGAAGGAGTTCCATCCCACTCACATATGAAATCTGGTAGCAGTCTTCCATCCTTTACAAGTAGTGTTTTCCAGCACCCTGTGGACAGTGCTCAGAGTCCTTCGTCTGCTATATCATGAGCTCTGCTGTGCCTCTTTTCTACCTGTCCAGCCTGCATAGGGGCTTCAGGAAGTCACAGATCATTTAATTTCACTGTCCTTATTTGTGCCTCTGGACCATCACACCAGCTGTTCCCTAGAACAATAATCAAGAATGTATTTCCCTTATTTCTCCATACAGTAAACCCTTAGCTATGCTTGAAGAGTCTACTCAACATAGCCTCCAAGTGTTTCCCCACACTTCTGGGAAAATACTAGCATTTCCTTTCTATAAAGATGACCTAATGAACCTCCATTAGTTTGCTTATAACATGTTATTTATATAGCTTCCCCAGAGACTGTAGTCCTTTCAAGGACAGTGACTGTTAGAATCATTTTTCATTTTCTAGCTGCCCCCCCAACAGTTTAAGCACATGTAGGATAGAAACTGTTGTGATAAATTTTTGCAAACTGTGGGTAAAAGTTCATTAATAGGACATAGAGTCAGTTTAGTAAATCAAGACCAACTTTTTGCCCTAAATTAAAAAAAAAAATAGATTAGTAAAATCAGAGTGCTTTCTGTGTACTAAGGATAATGCTTTTTCATGAAACTTTCTTTCCTTAAATAGATGAATAAATGTTTGTTTTATATGTGTGTGTTTATTTTTGTTTATGTGTCCTGAGTCAGGCACTTGTAAAATGCACTTATTTGTGAATTATGGGCTTCCCTGCTGGCTCAGTGGTAAAGAATCCACCTGCAAATGCAGGAGATGCAAATTCTATCCCTGGGTTGGGAAGATCCCCTGGAGAAGGAAATGGCAACCCACTCCAGTATTCTTGCCTGGGCAATTCCATGGACCAAAGAACCTGGTAGGCTACAGTCCATGGAGTCACAAGGGTCAGACAGGATTTAGCAACTAAAGAACTGTGAATTACAGGGTTTTCTTTAAGTTTAAAAGCCACCTAGTTAGGATATAGTTATAGCTTCCCTATAAAAGGCTCCAAAATAATAGTGGCTTAAGATGGCATAAGGAGAAGGAAATGGCAACCCACTCCCGTGTTCTTGCCTGGAGAATCCCAGGAATGGGGGAACCTGCTGGGCTGCCGTCTATGGGGTCGCACAGAGTCTGACACGACTGAAGCGGCTTAGCAGCAGCAGCAGCAATAGCAAGGTGGCATAAAAGTGGATACAACCCAAGTGTCTATCAGTGGATGAATGGATAAGCAAAATGTGGAATGCAATGAAATATTCATCCTTAAAAATGAAACATTTTGACACATGCTACAACATGGTGAACTTTAAGGACATCATGCTAAACTCAGCAATCCAATCAAAAAGAACAAACTATATGATCCTGTTCATCTGAGTTATTTGGAACAGTTGAACTCATAGAAAACGAAAGTAAAATGGTGGTTATTACCCTCCAGGGTTAGAGCCTGGAGTTAGTGCAAATGGGAGTTCTGGTTCAGTGAGTATAGTTTTGGTTTTGCAAGACAAAAATTTCTGGAGATTGGTTGTACAACAATGTGAATATACTTAACATTATTAAACCACACACTTTAAAGTGGCTAAGATAAGTAAGTTATATATTATGTGTATTTTACAATTTTAAAAGTTTCTAAATGTTCAGTAAAAAAAGTTTATTTTTCTCTCAATTCAAAAACTCTTAAGCTAGACTGCAGAACCCTTTGGGTGCAGACTGCTTCCTGTGTGTTTCTCTGTTGTATCTAGAATGGCACCCTTGTTGGGACTCACAGATGGCTTACCTCTATGGCTGCCTTTCCACCAGCAGGAAGGGGAGGAGGAGGAAGCACATGCCTTTCCTTTTAGGGCATGTTCCAAGTATTAAACATTCCCTCTACTTACACTCTCTTGGCCAGAACTTAGTCACAAGGGGATCTATGAAATGTAGTCTTTAGCTGAGGAACCAGGTATCCAGATCAAATATTTATTATTGTAGAAAAAGAGGAAAACAAATATTGGGGCATAGTTAACAGGGTTTTGTTGTTGTTGGATGCTTCCCTAAATCAGTTCATGTAAATCTAAAATTTCCTAAAGGTGAAACTTGATTCATCCTCACTAATAAGAAGAGAAACCAGAGGCTCAAAGAGCTCCAGGAACTCACCGCAGGACTAGGATTGAGCAGGAATTTGCCACCAGATTTGTCTCACACCAGGGCCCACTTCCCACTCACATACCTCCCTGAGGAGGTTGTCCAGAGACCCTATTATAGCTTTAGTCATTTTGTTGTTCAATCGCTGAGCCGTGTCCAAGTCTTTGCCACCCATAGATGATAGCACACCAGGTTTCCCTGTCCCTCACTATTTCTGGAGTTTGCTCAAACTCATTTCCATTGAGTCAGTGATGCCATCTAACCATCTCATCCTCTGTCGCTCACTTCTCTTCCTGCCTTCAATCTTTCCCAGCATCAGGGTCTTTTCTGTGAGTCAGCTCTTTGCATCAAGTGGCCAAAACACTAGAGCTTAAGTGTCATTCCTTCCAGTGAATATTCAGGGTTGATTTCATCCAGCCCAGCATTTCACATAATGTACTCTGAATTTAAGTTAAATAAGCAGGGGTGATGCTATAAAGCCTTAATCTACTCCTTTAGCATTTTTTATCCTGGTTATTCTATTCCTTAGCTTAACTGGCCTCTAGGAAAGTTATAGAAAAATAGAATAATGAAACCTCCTGTACTTTTCCAGGAAAAGTCCAAGCTGAAATCGATAAGGTGCTTGGCGAGTTACGACAACCGAGCATGGCCGCGCGAGAGTCCATGCCCTACACCAATGCTGTCATCCACGAGGTGCAGAGAATGGGGAACATTCTCCCTCTGAACGTGCCCAGGGAGGTGATAGTGGACACCACCCTGGCTGGATACCATCTGCCCAAGGTAATTAGGGGCTCACACCAACAGCCTCAGATCTCCAAACTCATATTTGTAAATGGTGGGAATATCTCAATTGGAAAAGCATTCTTATCCTAGAGAGTTACTTACATGGGAAGAGAAATATATTATGCCTGATGAAATATTAGTTTTGTTCCCTAAGTGTGAGCTTAGAAGGTTAGTTCAGCTGGATGTTAACCGGTGTTTTAGAGGAGGGGGCATTCCTAAGTCAGCTGCGATTAGGCAGAACCAGGCTTTTCTTTGCTCTGCGGTTTCCTCATTGCTCTACTCTGTGACATGAGCTGTAAATCTGTGTGGGGATGCGGAAGGCAGCAGTTCTCAGGCTCAGACTTTGTCATGAGGTCCTTTCCTTTGCCTTGGGGGTGCTTCTCACAAGATGGAGACCTGCTAGGCTTATTTTAGACAATTGTGCTATGCAGTGCTGGAATGTTGAAAAATGAGGGACTTTTGAGACCACCTGAACCAACATCATATTCATTCTGGTGTTTCTAACATACTATTCCCACAGGTGGTTTTTTTTTCATCTTTGACTTACAGACCCTTGATGGGACTGCCTCACAAGGGAAAGCAATCCAAGTATGTTCAGTATTAAATATCAGAATAGGAGAGAAAGGAGGAACCAATGCTTTTTAAGCAGTGATTATGTACTGTGGACTATACATGTTATTTCAAAATGTCTGAATCAGTCCTTAGAATAATTCCGTTATCTCATTTTATAAATCTGAAAGCCGGGGCTTGGAGAGAAATTAATTAACCTCTCAGCTACAGGCACAAGATTTGGGTTCCAGAAACAGAACTGTTCTGATTCCCAGGCTCATCTTTTTTTATACTACACCATGTTCTCTCCACAGGAGTTGCTTTCCTTTGATTTTAAAAGAGTCTCCCTGAAACATTTCTCAGTGCTGCTAAGTCACTTCAGTCGTGTCCGACTCTGTGCGACCCCATCCCTGGGATTCTCCAGGCAAGAACAGTGGAGTGGGTTGCCATTTCCTTTTCCAATGCATAAAAGTGAAAGTGAAGTCGTTCAGTCATGTCTGACTTTTTGCGACCCCATGCACTGCAGCCCACCGGACTCCTCCGTCCATGGGATTTTCCAGGCAAGAGTACCGGAGTGGGGTGCCATTGCCTTCTCCGATTGAATTTAATGGGGACCCATTTCTCAGTGGGTCCCCATTAAATTCCCAGTCCTCCCAAAGGACATGCTGCTCTCACTCGGCCCCCCGCCTCCCCGAGGATCGCAGGTGCCAGCTCTCCTGTGCCCCCTAGTGTCCGCTCTGTGCGCTGCACATGTACCGTTCCCTTTCTCACAACCTTGGTGAGCCTCGGTGGATCCATTCTAGTCTGTCTAAATTGCTCTGTGTGTGTTGTACCTGGGGACAATCTCAAGGCAAAGCCAAAGGAAATTCTGCATTGTACACCCCTTAGTCACCAGCCCAGCAGAACCAGGAATAGCAGCTATTCCTGCCATGATTGCTTTACTGTATTAGTTTGGTGCAAATGTAATTGCTATTTTGAACCGTGAATTTTAAATCATGGTAACTAGGCTCAAATCATTGTAACTAGGCTTTAAGAAAAGGCAGAGGAACCAGAGATCAAATTGCCAACATATACTGGATCATCAAAAAAGAAAGAGAGTTCCAGAAAAACATCTATTTCTGCTTTATTGACTATGACAAAGCCTTTGACTGTGTGGATCACAATAAACTGTGGAAAATTCTGAAAGAGATGTGAATCCCAGACCACCTGATCTGCCTCTTGAGAAATCTATATGCAGGTCAGGAAGCAACAGTTAGAACTGGACATGGAACAACAGACTGGTTCCAAATAGGAAAAGGAGTACGTCAAGGCTGTGTATTGTCACCCTGCTTATTTAACTTCTGTGCAGAGTACATCATGAGAAATGCTGGGCTGGATGAAGCACAAGCTGGAATCAAGATTGCTGTGAGAAATATCAATAACCTCAGACATGCAGATGACACCACCCTTATGGCAGAAAGTGAAGAGAAACTAAAAAGCCACTTGATGAAAGTGAAAGAGGAGAGTGAAAAAGTTGGCTTAAAGCTCAACATTCAGAAAACTAACATCATGGCATCTGGTCCCATCACTTCATGGCAAATAGATGGGGAAACAGTGGAAACAGTGGCAGACTTTATTTTGGGGGGGCTCCAAAATCACTGCAGATGGTGATTGCAACCTTATAACCAATCTAGACAGCATATTAAAAAGCAGAGACATTACTTTGCCAACAAAGGTCCGTCTGGTCAAGGCTATGGTTTTTCCAGTGGTCATGTATGGATGTGAGAGTTGGACTATAAAGAAAGCTGAGCACCAAAGAATTGATGCTTTTGAACTGTAGTGTTGGAGAAGACTCTTAAGAGTCCCTTGGACTGCAAGGAGACCCAACTAGTCTATCCTAAAAGAAATCAGTCCTGAATATTCATTGAAAGGACTGATGTTGAAGCTGAAACTCTAATACTTTGGCCACCTGATGCGAAGAACTGACTCATTTGAAAAGACCCTGATGCTGGGAAAGATTGAAGGTGGGAGGAGAAGTGGACAACAGAGGATGAGATGGTTGGATGGCATCACTGACTCAGTGGACATGAGTTTGGGTAAAACTACAGGAGTTGGTGATGGACAGGGAGGCCTGGCGTGCTGCAGTCCATGGAGTTGCAAAGAGTTGGACACAGTTGAGTAAATGAACTGAACTGAAGTGAACTAGGCTCAAACATATCTTTATTAATCAAAGTAGGAACCATTACAGTCAACACATTTTTGCCAATGAGAAATAAGTTTGCTTATTCCTGTGGTGTAAAAATCTGTCCTTCAGGACTCTTGGCAAGCATTTTCTGCCTCTTACTAGTTATGGAAGCATTTTCCCTGCAAAACGTTACCAGCATACTTGAGGAAGTGGTAGTTGGTTGGCTACCGAGGTCCCGTGAATATGGTGGATGAGGCAAAACTTTGTAGCCCAATTCATTCAACTTTTAAAGTATGCAACATGCAGTCAGTTGTTGTCATAGAGAAGAATTGGGCCCATTCTGTTGACTAATCCCAGCTGCAGACATTGCAGTTTTCAGTGCATCTCATTGATTTGCTGAGCATGCTTCTCAAATGTAATGTTTTTGCTGAATTCAGAAGGCTGTAGTGGATCAGACAAGCAGCAGACCACCAAACAGTGACTGACATTTTTTCAGTGCAAGTTTGGCTTTGGAAAATGCTTTGGAGCTTCTTCTAGATCCAGCCACTGAGCTGGTCATCACCTGTCATATAAAACCCACTTTTTGTTGCATATCACCATTCAATCGAGAAATGGTTTGTTGTTGTGTAGATGAAGCAAAGATGACACTTCAAAATGATGATTTTTTTTATTTGCGGTCAACTCATGAGGTACCTACTTATCGAGCTTTTTCACGTTTCCAATTTGCTTCAAATGCCAAGTGACCATAGAATGGTTGACACTGAGTTCTTCAGCACCTTCTCTTATAGTTGTAAGAGGATCAGCTTCGATGATTGCTCTCCAACAGTCATCTACTTCCAATGGCCAGCCACTCTACTCCTCATCTTCAAGACTGTCACTCGTCTCCTTTGCAAAACTTCTTGAACCACCACTGCACTGTATATTCACTAGCAGTTCCTGAACCAAATGCATTGTTGATGCTGCAAGTTGTCTCTGCTGCTTTATGACCCACTCTGACCCATAAGAAAATTGCTCACATTTGCTTTTTGTCTAACATTATTTCCATAGTCTAAAATAAATATAAAATACACAGCAAGTAATAAGTCATTAGCAAAAAAAAAAACCATAAAGCAAGAAATGTGCATGAAAATGATGTATAACATAACCACATTTAAGAATGTATTTCAATGTCAAAGGACAAAATTCAGCAGTGCGAAACGACAATTACTTTTGCACCAACCTAATATTTTCTTGCTAATTGATCATTTGTGGTTGAAGGCTGGTGGTGGTGGTTTAGTTGCTAAGTCATGTTTGACTCTTGCTGAGGTCTAAATTATTTCTCAGGTGATCTTTGCATTTTTATGGCAATTCAGTTAACTCCAGGAAACCATCCCAGATCAGTAGACTTGTTCTGACATTGATTATTAATGTTGACTTAAAAAATCATCCTGGGAATTAAAAGATCCCGTTGGCTATGTTGTAGAGGGGTCATAACTTTGATGTCAAATGTCCTAATTCAAATCATTTTTCTACCTCCTTCCACCCTGTGACTCTGGGTGTCTTATTCCACCTCTCAGAGCTTTAAAATCTTTATTCGTGAGAATGCATTTAAATCCATCTCACAGATGAACATGTAATGAGGTCATGCATGAATATTAGAATATATATAAGGTTAAATAGAATATTTAACCTTGTGCTTACTATAGAAAGTTCTCAAAATAGCACTTATTATTCTTTATTAATTCATCAGATGTTCATTAAACACCTAAAATGTTTAGACCTCAGAGAACAACTCAGAAGAAAATAATCATGCAAGTTTATAAGTACAACTGTGATAACTCTCCAAAGGAAAAAAATCACTGGTGTCTAGGAAGATGCAGGCTGGCTGCAATGAGGAGTGGGAGCAGGAGCAGGCAGAGAAGACTTCCCAAAGGAAGTGATGTTTGAGCAGAGGATTAAAGGATGGTTAAGAGTTAACTCAGTGACAAAATGGGAAGGAAGGAGATTCCAGGCAAAGGTGAACAGCATGTAAAAAGGCACAGAAGTGAGTGGGGAAATGTGGCATGTTTGAGAAACTGAAAGAAGCTTGATGTAGTAGGAGTGCAGGCAAGAGGGTGACTCAGACAGGGAGCAGGTGATGTGTCCTTCATCTAAAAGTGATGGGAGTTATTGAAGGGTATCTATCACATTCCAGGTATGGTGGGTAGATAGGAGTGAAATGATTAAATCTTATTCAAAGCTAACTCAGCTTTCATCATGTAGAGCACATTGAAGGGGAAGAGAGAATATGGGCATAGGCAGGGATATTACAGGAGGATAGCCAAGCGAGTGGTAGCCTGAATCATGTGGCAGTGGTGGACACAAAATGGAGTAACAGGATCAAGAGAAATTTCAAAAAATTGACCAGCCTGGCTGAAGCATTGGTTGAAGGAAGAATGGGGGAAAGGGACGCATTATGGAAGACGCCTAGGTTTTTTGCTCAGTATCTGGAAAAACAGCGGTTCCTTTTGCTGAGTGACCTCATTCTATTATTAAACCCTCTGTAGAAGAGACCAGACATTGGAAGGAAGCAAATGGGAGATGTCTCACTATTCTCTTATTGATGCAAATGTGTTCCCTCCCAAGTTCTACACTGACATGTCCCTGCAGAGATCCATTCTGCACTAAGAGCAGTCACACTTCCCTGGTCAAATTCCCGGCAGACAATTCCAATCCATCATTGTAAGCTGTCCCATGGCGAAGAGCTGGGTCCTAGGGGCTGGCCTCAGAAGGTGGTGGGTCAGGGAGGCTGAGGGAGTTCAGGGTGCTGTCAGCCTTGGTGTGGAGTCCCGGGGGACTGCCGCCCCTCTGCACACATAGGTTGTGTGGGTCAATCCCTGCCTGAGTCTCTTCTGCCTTCTCCAGGGCACCATGGTGCTGACCAACCTGACTGCTCTGCACAGGGACCCTGCAGAGTGGGCCACGCCCGACACGTTCAATCCGGAGCATTTTCTGGAGAATGGACAGTTTAAGAAAAGGGAAGCCTTTCTGCCTTTTTCATTAGGTGAGTATCGAGAAATATGAGTGTGGGAACCCAGAGGCCGTCTCTCAGCCCTTCCCTCCTCTTCTCCCTGGTGTTTTGCTTTAGTTGGCATGTCTCCAGGTTCAACAGAAAAAATAAAAACTCAGCCTAAAAGTTGAGAATTTTTATTCAGGGTGTTACAGAAGACTATATCCCAGGAAGGTGGCCTCTCAGAGAGCTCTTGGGGACTGTTTCCAAAAGGTAAGGAAAGAACCAGGATACGTGGGAGTTCTTGCTGGGGGGAAAAAAATAAAAAAAAAACATGTAATCAAACATCATAAGATTTTGCTAGTCACACACATGAAAAAAGACCAGACATTTCAAGTTAATGATTTTAGTGCCTTTCTTTTTATGGGAAGATGCAGTGAAATTATTCCTTTTTGTGCATCCTAACACTCTAGAGCCAGTATCCTCTTTTTTTTCCATCCTGAATTCCACTGAGAGCACAGCACTGGGGGCAGCTGCAGTGACTGATGACTTTGTGGAGAGCAGCATTCATTGTTTACCAGAATGGCAGGCAACAGTGTTCAGTCCACACCACAGAGTCCCCTCCAGAGTGACTCTCTCTTGCTGTTGGTTGCACCTCAGGATTCCCTGGGTGGAGCATCACCAGGACTCATGCCTTTACTTCCCAAGCCCTGGCTTGACTCTGATGAAGATTTCAGCTTCACGTTGTGCTGGCCCCAGAATGCTGAAACAAGAGCTCAGACCCTTCCTGTCTCCCAGAGAGAAGGTTGAACACTTGCCTTCCTTACAGAGTTTTAAATGTTCAAAGATCTTTTTAGGGCAACCCATTCACACAGAACTAGAGTCAGTTGCTAGGAGAGGATGAGGAAGGGGCAAGGAAAGGGGCTACTTGCTTCTCATTATGGGCATCATAAGTGACTCTAAGTGTCGCAGGCTTAACTAAATGGGATTCTACTCTATCACTGATCCCTAAGAAGTCCTTTTACTGTTTTAAACTCTAATGACTCTTTAAATAACTAGTCAATACATTTACAGGGTATACAATTTGAAAGGTATGAAAGAAGGTGCAGTGAAAACTCCTGGGTTTCCAAACCAGCCACTTCCAAAAGAGTATTTTAATTTATAACATTGTAAAATGAGTGAGAAAAATTTTAGTATATTTCACATATTAAGTTAGGTAGGTTGCAGAGATCATTTCAAATAAATTTCCAATTTCTTAATTCTGTAAGTGTTTCCTGGGCATCTATTATGTATTAGACATTCAGCCCTGAGGATATGATAATGAATGAAGTAGAAAAAAAAAATGTCTTAAAAAGTGTGTGTTCCAGTTCTGTAAAGCAAGTGTCCTTCAATTAAAAAAATAAATTTAATTGTCATAAAAAGTAAAAAAAGCTTGTGTTCTACTGTAACCTTACAAAGTTCAAATTCTATTCACCACGTTTAGGGATATGGAAGGAACCTGGAGCTTAGCAGGGTCAACTACTGTGTCTGCAGTCATAAAACTCACAAGACAGAGCTAGAACTCAGTGTTGACCAAGTTTATCAAATACTGAAGCCTGTGCTCTTTCTAGCAGCGTCTCTCTCCAAAACAGTAACTAACTATTACAATGAGTTGGCACTCTGGAATTTATAGTAGTTTTCTTATCACTGATTTAAATTAAATATAGATTGATTTTCTACAACGGTATTATTTTGCTGATCATGCCACAAAGGCACAGAGAGGGAGGGACTGGAATTTGTCCATGTAGAAGTGACGCAGAGCCCAGGCTGTAGGACGCTGTCCTGCGTGTATCTGAACTGATTCTGATAGATCTTCTGTGTCTTTCTTCCTCTGGTTCTGTACCACCTTTACACTGGACAAGTCACTTCCTAACATGAAAGCAGACATGAGATGTAGGAATATCTTTCAATCTTCCTATCTGTAAGAGCTTCAGATTTCCTATTATAGGACAAAGTTCATGTTTATTTTATGCATTTTAATCATTCTTGACTCACAGTTTTTTTGGTTTTTTTTTTGCTATTGAGAGTTATAACACACCCTTTTAATTATAGGCTTCATTTACAAGGAAATTATCTCATTTAATCCTCACAGCAGCCTAGTTATTAATAGTTAGGCAATGGATCAGTATCTCATTTCTTAATGTAAGGAAACTAAGTATAAGAGAGGACTGTTTCTTATTCAAGATCTTGTGCCCAAAGAATTGTCCGAACGGGCCCTATTCTCAAGTTCTCATCTAGTGCTCCTTGTTGCATAGTTAAAATGTAATTTACTTGCCCACTTAAAGCCTTTCCATTTTAAGATTCACCAAATTCATATCATATGTATCAAGTACTATATTGCTGCATAACAGATGAATAACTCAGTGACTTAAAACAATCATTGTTGTTGTTGTTCAGTAGCTAAGTTATGTCTGGCTCTTTGTGACCCCGTGAACTGTAGCCCAATAGGCTCCTCTGTCCTCCACTATCTCCTAGAGTTTGCTCACACCCATGTCCATTGAGTCAATGATGCCATCCAACCATCTCATCCTGTTACCCACTTCTCCTCCTATTCTCAGTCTTTCCCAGCATCTCCTGGAGTTTGCTTGAATTCATATCAATTGAGTCAGCAATGCTATCTAACCATCTTATTGTCTACCATCCCCCTTCTCCTTTTACCTTCAGTCTTCCCCAGCATCAGGGTTTTTCCAATGAGTCAGCTCTTTGCATCAGATGTTCAAAGTATTGGAGTTTCAGCTTCAGTAACAGTCTTTCCAATAAATATTCAGAGTTGATTTCCTTTAGGATTGACTGGTTTGATCTCCTTGCAGTCCAAGGGACTCGCAAGGGTATTTTCCAGCACCACAGTTCAAAAGCATCAGTTCTTCAGCGCTCAACCTTCTTTATGTTCCTACTCTTACACCCATACATGACTATTGGAAAAACGATAGCTTTACTCTGTATTACTGCTCCCAAGTCTGCAGCTGAGCTGGGAGCTCGACTAATCTTAGCTTTGTCCTCTTGCCTCTTTGGGAGCTGAGCTGACTGAAGACTGAGGGAAGATGACCTCAGCTGAGACAGTGAGGGTCTTTTCCAAATTTCCTCCTCCAGCAATCTAGCCCAGCGAGTGTACATGTAGAAGAACAAGATCCCAGGAGGGAGGAAAGCGCACAGTGCCTCCTAAGGGCCAGGCTGGGAACTGGCGACCATCACTCCCACTGCCTTCTGGTGGCCACCATCCGTCACCTGTGGGCCCCAGTTCAAGAGAAAGGGAAAGTAGCACAGTTTTCATGGGAAGGGCTATGAAATCATGTTGCCAATGATGTGAGTAAAGGGAGATGGGGGGAAATTGGAGCCATTTTTGCAAATAGTTGGTCTCACTATCTGTCCTTTTGCTGAGGAGAATGCAATTGAGAGAAGGCAAGCAATTTGGGGATTTCCTCAGCTGTGGCAGAGTGAGGCTAGCTTAAAAGGTTTCGAGAGATAGAAGAATGCACTGACTTATAAAGTCAACACCACTGTCTTGTGTTCTCACCACACTGCCATCTCTGGAGCATGGTGGCTTTGCCTCATTCTTCATCTGGCACTTTGTAAAAACAGCCTCCCTGAAGGGATGGAATGTGGAGAGCTCCTTCCCTTCTCTGGAAAGGATGATCAGGTGTGGAATTAGGACACATGCATATTATCAGGGCAGATGGCAAAGCTGTTACTGCAAATTTGTATTTTCTTTTCCTCATTTAAGTTTTTCCCTTTCAATCCAACAAAGCAGCAGACAGCTTCATGCAAGGCAAGAGGCTGAGTCCTCGTTTTTCAAATTTTTTTAATTCACTGAATCATGAGAGATAAAATTATGAAGAACTTTTCCCCAAAACCCTAGGTCATTTCTGTTGTTTTATTAATGAGGTAATTGACCTGGTTAGTTAACGATGGCCTTGGTGGAAGCACCAAGGAGAAGGTCCACATTTCCCGTAGTCCAGGATGAAGCTGTGAGATCAAGTTGCCCTCCTTTGCATGATTTTAAAAGCAAATTCATATAATTCATATCTCCTGTCTTCCTGGTATCCTCACCCAGCCACATAATATAGTTGGGAGAGCAATTATCTAACATGTTTGACAAGTGAGACATGTTCAGGTCTGTAAGAATAAAGGGTTTACTCATAGCCCAGAGCTGGGTACTGATGAAACGAGTACTGTAACCCTGGTTCCTGATTCCATGGGTCTAGTTTTGTCATATCTGGATTCTTCTAGGAGAATCCTGGGTATTTATAATATAGCTGATCTGGTACTATTTTAACAAAATTCCTCATTGCATTATTTGTGATGGGTAAAGAGATAAGGGGGCTTCCCAAAGCAGTGGTAAAGAATCCACCTGCCAAAGCAGGAGATGCAAGAGATGCGGGTTCCATGCCTGGGTCAGGAAGATCCCTGGAGTAGGGAATGGCAACCCATTCCAGTATTCTTGCCTGGAAAATTGGACACGACTGAGCACACACATACACACACACAAAGAGATAAGGATGAGGGGAACAGAGATAATTAGATACACACTGGTGGGAAACAGGCACAAAACAATTTAAGAACAATATGATTCTAAAGCATATTTTAATTTATTCAACACTTTTGCAGAAATTCTCTAATTTCATTTCCTCAACAGGTCATTACAGGCAGGGACAAAATAGAGACATGCTACATTAACTATTTCTAAGAAAGTTTCATTACAAGGGGAAAATACCAAGTACAGAAGCAACGCCCAGAATTAATTACAGAGAGTAATCCCAGTGACGGTGTGCAGGAGAATCCTTACAAAGACAGTGAGGAAATATGTCTAATATTAACAAGGGTTTTGTCTGAATTTGTAACAGACATCTTTTTTTGTCTTTACATATTTCACAATTTTTTTTCTTTCTTTCTTAGGTAGAAAGTAAGTTATTAAAACACCCATAAGAGAGATGATGGTAGAGCCCAGTGTGGGGTGTTGTAGCCCGAGTGGGGGAGGAGGGAAGCCTGGAGCAGGTAAACACAGGTGGGATGAGATGGGGTTGGCCCTGCATGACAGGGAGATCCCCAGTCATAATAGAGGGAATTGTGATGTAGAGAGAAGATGCCTTGTACTTGAGAAACCTTGATCTGACATTTACTTGCTTATAGTTTTCAAAAGTTTCTTTTAACAATTGAGAAAAACTACCTAAAATTTTGTGGGGTTTTTTTGTCTGCTTTAGTCATGATTGTTTGCTAATGGATTTTTAAACAACGTTAGGCTAGTACTGGGCCAACTCAGGCCTCACTTCTCTCATGCACACCCTGCACCTTCAACCTGTGCCTCACCTGGCTGAGTCCTGTAGGCTGGGAGTGTGCGATTGTGTAATTAGCTCGCTGAGCTTTGGTTAACCCAGGTGTGTATGTGTGTGCGTTAGTCACTCAGTCGTGTCTGACATTTTGCAGCCCCATGGAGTGTAGCCTGCCAGGTTCTTCCATCCATGGGATTTTCCAGGCAAGAATCCTGGAGTGGATTGCCATTTCCTTCTCCACTGGTTAACCCAGGTGGTTGTGCTCAAACAAACTGAATACATAAGGACCCAGAGGCTGACAGGCCCCACCTTTGCTCAGGTTTTACAAGAAGTCATAAAATATTTCAGTCCTTGCTGGTACAGACACCACCTGAACAGGTAACTTTTTATTGTCTTTCAGGAAAGAGGATGTGCCTTGGAGAACAGTTGGCGAGAACTGAGTTGTTTATTTTTTTTACCTCACTTCTGCAAAAATTTACCTTCAGGCCTCCAGACAATGAAGAGTTGAGCCTGAAGTTCAGAATGGGCCTGACCCTGTCCCCAGTCAGCCATCGCCTCTGTGCTGTTCCTCGGGCCTGAAGTTGTTGAGGAGAGGGAGGGGAAGGAAAGCAGGAAGAACAGGCCTGTCACCCCTCAAGGCACGGGGACTGCTCAGAAGTGAGAGGACAGCATCCAGTGACTGGGACAGGTCATAGGAACTGGATTCAGAGGAAACTGGATCCAGACCCCAGCTTTACCATCTCTAGTGGGGCATTGAGGAAATCAGTTTTGTTGTGTGTGATTTCATTTTCATCCAGAGGACTTAAAGTGGACAATGATTTCTTCTCTACAAGGAAGGGGTGCTGTAAAAACCAGAGGAAATAATGGGCTGTAAGTGGCTTGGAAACCATAAAGTGCGTCATAAGAGTCACAGCTCTGATCTGCCTCCTTCTGCTTCCTGCCTTAGTTAGGGGTTTTCTCTGGCTTGTTGAGATGGCCTGGGTCAAAGTGGTGCCAAATGGTGGATAAGAGTTAGAAGTTGGGCCCTGGGGCAGCCACTGACCGCGTCCAAATAGGCCCTCACACTTGGTAGCACTGGGCAGGCTTATCCTGCTTCTGCCCCAGACTAGCCCCTGGGAAGTCAGCAGGGCAGGTGGAATTCCTAAGTTATAGGCTGGTTTCTGTGAAGAAGAATGCTCTCTGATTTACCTAACAAAGCCTTGGACTCCAGTGCCAAGAAGAATGTCACCGCATTTAACTAAACATGGTAAGCAGGTTAGGGGGAAACAAATGGGGAAATATTTTCTATCTTTTAAGCTCCTCCTTACACTTCAGTTCCCTGTCTGGTATTATTTATTCCCAAGCCATTTCATATTGGATTGACTGTGGTGGGTGTGATCTTTTCTTACAAACTGATGTTGGCTTTTGGTTGGCAAGTATTCCCAGCCTAAACACAACAGCTGAGGCGTGGTAGAATATTTCATAGCAGGAAACTGAAATGCCAGAATCCTGCTCAGCCCTCCTTGTGTGTGGTCACTGAGGGGAGAAAATGGCACCAACTGGAGGCCAGGTCCCACTGACAGTCCCTGGGTTTGGATGCCAACCCCCATGCACACAGACACCAACAAACCTAGTGAATGGGACTAAACCATTCAAGGTCTTTTTTCTAACATTGCTACACTTAATTAAATAGCTCAGAACAAAAAGGGCCATGAGGTCATTGAGCTTTTCATTCCTGTTGCTTGGGATTCAGAGAAAAGCTAATTCAATAAATACCATTAGAGAAAGAGACTGAAGAGCAAGAGAAGGTGAGAGGAGGGACAGAAGGCAAAGTGAGAGAGAAAGTGTCTGACTGGAGCTAGCCTGAACCTGTCAGAGCCAAGACACTGTCTGGGAGAGTTGGTTGTGTTCTAGAGTTTAGATGGAGAATTTGGTAACCCTAGCCACCCACCAGAGTGCACTTTCTTTGTAACATCCTGGAAAGTGGCATCTCCGGAAAGCAACCTAAAGGACATTTCTAGAATAAAGCCATTCAAAGCAGACCGTGAATTTCCTGAACATGAGTCCTTCTCTTCCACTTGTTTTTCTCCCAGTCAGATCATCCACATAGAAGACTGAGAATTGACCAAAATGCTTTTCATTATGTGCTCAGTGGATTTTGTTGACTCATCTCTGAGGTCCATTCCTGCTCTGCTGTGCATTTTCCATGATTCTAGAAGGACAGGAGTTTACTTACTTCTTGTGGAATCAATGGAAAACCCTGCACACTCATCCTAATAGATGCAGTGGGACCCAGACTCAAGTACAGTGTGACAACAATTAACCAGAAAACTTGAGGACACAGGATTGGGAGTAGTTGAACTTTCTGACCATGCAAAATGTCTCCTCCTTTCCTCAAAGCTCACTGGAGAGACTCTAAATTATGAACTCTCTTCCTGTCCAAGCGTTATACAAGTATTTTGTCATCTGTGTTTTTGTAACTCTCTTATTCCTGGTTCATGTGTGGAGCTCCAGCTCCCCTTTCCCGCTGCTGTATTCTAAATTTCCCTGCCTTCTTAAAAGGTTGTCAGGTGGATTCACTGTAGGTTACTCTCCTCCCTACTGACCACAAAATCATTCTGAATCCTTTAGCAGAGCTGCCACATGGTAAAACCCCAGGATGCCCTCATGATGGGCTAGGCGAGCAGCGCCCTCTGGAGGTGGACCGGGTACAGCCACACATTACCTGTCAGTGAGCAGGTCCGGGGGGCTTGCTCACTAACTGGGCACATGGTAGTCTTTGTGCTCTGACACCAGCTCATCTCTTCAGACACATCTCTTAGTACTTCTGCCAAACTGCTTCAGTTCAGTTCAGTTCAGTTCAGTTCAGTCACTCAGTTGTGTCCGACTCTTTGCGACCCCGTGAATCGCAGCACGCCACGCCTCCCTATCCATCACAAACTCCCGGAGTTTACTCAAACTCATGCCCATCGAGTCAGTGATGCCATCCAGCCATCTGATCCTCAGTCGTCCCCTTCTCCTCCTGCCCCCAATCCCTCCCAGCATCAGGGTCTTTTCCAACAAGTCAACTCTTCTCATGGGGTGGCCAAAGTACTGGAGTTTCAGCTTCAGCGTCAGTCCTTCCAATGAACACCCAGGACTGATCTCCTTTAGGATGGACTGGTTGCGTCTCCTTGCAGTCCAAGGGACTCTCAAGAGTCTTCTCCAACACCACAGTTCAAAGGCATCAATTTTTTGGCGCTCAGCTTTCTTCACAGTCCAACTCTCACATCCATACATGACCACTGGAAAAACCATAGCCTTGACCAGATGGACCTTTGTTGGCAAAGTAATGTCTCTGCTTTTTAATATGCTATCTAGATTGGTCATAACTTTCCTTCCAAGGAGTAAGCGTCTTTTAATTTCATGGCTGCAATCACCGCCTGCAGTGATTTTGGAGCCCCAAAATAAAGTCTGCCACTGTTTCCCCATCTATTTCCCATGAGGTGATGGGACCAGATACCATGATCTTAGTTTTCTTTTTTTTTTTTTTGCTTTTTATTTTTTTATTTTTTTTTAAACTGTTTACAATATGTTTTTTTTTTTTTTTCCATTGTTGAAAATAGTTCATTTTTTTTACATGAATTCCCCATCCCGGTCCCCCCTCCCACTTAGTTTTCTGAATGTTAAGCTTTAAGCCAACTTTTTCACTCTCCTCTTTCACTTTCATCAAGAGGCTTTTTAGTTCCTCTTCACTTTCTGCCATAGGATGGTGTCATCTGCATATCTGAGGTTACTGATATTTCTCCCGGCAATCTTGATTCTAGCTTGTGCTTCATCCAGCCCAGCGTTTCTCATGATGTACTCTGCATATAAGCCAAACTGCTTACCTCCTATCAATTCCTCCAGGCTAGATCCTTTATCATATTCTTGTCTATGTGTATTTTTCTGTAAGAAATGTCTAATTATGTCTGGTAGACTCTGCTTTAATGCCAAATCTTCAATTTTCTGGACTCTCTCAGCCAGTTAGTTGATCCCTTCTTCATTCTCTGAGAAGTTTATTCAGAGGTTTAAATTCCCTATTTCCATGTAATCTCCTAAGTGTATTGAGCTCTTCAGAGGTGACTGTTCGTGGCTCCCTTAGGCTCAGTATCTAAGTGGTTGCATAGTAGGCATTCACCAAATGTTTGTTGAACCTATTGGGGTTGGGATGGGGTGGGAGAGTAGCGCAGTGATTGGGACAGGGCAGACCGATCAATGCTGCCACATGTCAGAGATGTCCACTATGTGCAGCAGGCCTTTTAAAAGCCTTCATGTCACACTCTGGAAAATGTTGATCTCAAAGACTGCTTGCTCAGGTCCCTTCTACTTCCAAAACTCTGACTTATGGGGAGAACTTCTGAAATGGCAAAGTAAGGACATTCTGAAATCTACTTCTCCATAAAAGCACAGAGAAAACCAGCAAAAGTTCTCATAATCCACATTTTCAGAATTCCACACATTAACCAGATTTTGTGCAGCAACTACACTATTGCAAGCAAAGTCTTGGAACAACTTGAGCTTCTGTTTAAGGAAAAACTAAAACAAAAGGAGGGCTGAATCTCAGTAGGAGTACTGAGCTCTTGTACCCTGCTCCAGCTTTTCTCTCCCCAGCTCTGCAGTCATCTTGAAAAGCAACAGCCTGGCAGTTCTGGCAGCCAAGAAAACCAGGTGCCAAACAGCCACTGGGGCGTGTTCCCCAAAGGCCCTGAGCCCAGACAGCTGTCAGTACTGGACTGTCTGGCAGATCCCTTGAAAGACCCACTCTCAAGGCCTGTATTTTTTTTTTATACCTTTTTTAATGTGGACCATTTTTTAAAGTCTTTATTGAATTTGTTACAATATTGCTTCTGTTTTTTATGTTTTGGTTTTTTTGGCCACAAGGCATGTACGATCTTAGCTCCCCAATCAGGGATCGAGAACTCACACGTCCTGCATTGGAAGGTGGAATTTTAGCCACCGGATCACCAGGGAAGTCCGACAGGGCCTGTCTTTACTTAACCTGCCTCCAAGCCCAGCCTGTGTGAACCACACTACAATGCATGTATTCAAACACATCAGGGACAGTTGGACTTTGTTGTAACATGAGGGGGAAATATCAGACATGCTGCCCAGAGGATTAAGAGGGAAAACTGGGGAAGGAGGTGTCCACTGGGGCTTCAACAAACTCTGCCATTTTCCTGGGAATTAAGAAAGCTATGTACCTGCAAGGGCTTTGTGCATGCTTAGTAGGAACCTAGGAAGCACTAATTTCATCTCCAGCTGACCTCCAGGCTCTGCCCAAACAGGAAGTTAATGCTAATATAGGGTGTGAACTGCCTGCTGAAGTGCTGAAGGCTTAACCCAAATCACATGCAGAGCCCTGAGAGACCATTAGGTTCAAGGCATTTGAGGAGACCTCTGCACGCATTTGCTGGAACTTGAGGCTAACAGCAAAGCATTCAGGTGTTCCATGTGATGAAGAACAGAAATTTTACAGAATTGGTCCAAGAAAGTCACTAAACAGAAAGCAACAAAAACAGTGACAGTCACAATAACAGACTCTTGGTGGTCCAGAGTTTCCTCACTGTATCATTTAAAAG